CATATTTATACTTATTGAGATAATAATCATAGTGCTTTTACATAGCAAACTAAAACTAAAATTGGCTTTCACAAATAGTTACCTAAAGGAAATATATATTACAAAATAATAAAAGAAATTATTGTAATGGCTAAAATTTTAGTCAAAATTAAAAAGAAAATGTTTTGAAATATGTATTAGACGTAAAATATATTAATTAATACTAAAATAAAAGTATTACATCAATCATAATAATACAATTTCCATTTTTCTCATTTTTAACGTATTATTAAAGTGCTTTTTACTCCCATTTTGACGTTAATTCTTGTAATAATTAATTTTTATGGCCTTCCTAACAAAAATTCAGAGCAACTTAGGAGATTGAAGAATAATTAAGATCGAAACTAGTCTAAATATTTAAAAATAATCTACCTGTAGTGCATATTCTTATAAGCATTTTTTATTATAAAATTTTAAAGGAAAAACATTAAATTTGTTTAGAACATTACCGTTATCACTTAATAGAGACTTTTTTAATTTCACGATATTAGATATTAGGTACCTAATCATCTAATTAAAGTGACGGCGGGGTTTATTAGTGCTCGCGGGAATTAAGGTAGTTAATTAGAAAAATCCAATAATGAAAAACCAATTGTGATGTACGTATGTAAAGGTCTCTACCAGGTAATTACTAACAGAAAAATGACCGTGTACTTTTTATATCCTAGTGGCATCTCTGCAAGTTTATTTATTTAGTTTTTATTTTATAATTAACTTATTATATGGAAGTACCTACTATATTTACTAAGTATCTATGTGTAGGAAAATGTGATTATTTAAAAAGTAACATTAATGTTGTTATTAACACAGTTAACACAGCAGGTAAAAGTTGGTCTGTGTTCTGTCGTAGCTGCCTGCGACGCGCTGATGAGATCCAAAATTATCGAAATCGCGATCCGTATCTGGCAGTTTCGACAGAATACAGACCACTTCGAATTATTTTATTTAGTAACATTAATGTTTATTTCAAAATACATTTCTTAATATCAATTTTCTAATTACAAGTCCATCACTTATAATTTCTATTTAAAACTTTGCAACCTTTGATAAAATATCTACTTGCTATTTAAAAAAACATTCGACCTCATATTTTTTAATCTTGCCGACTATTTAGTGCGATTTTATGACCCATCTTAGATCTGGTACGCTAATAAACATAAATGTTCATTGGAAAAATCAGCATAAAACAGTTTCATTTACAGTGATGATATATTTACAAATGGTTGAAAAAGCACCCCAGCAGGGTCGGATCCAGGAGTACCTCAAGGCTTGCTGACAAGTTTGCCTTGAAGGAATGTAGAAAATTCGAATGTAACGTCGATTTGATTAATTACGTCATACGAATTTCATGATTTCTAGAACACCCCGTTTCTTCAATATCAGGAAGATCATGAATAAGATACAGACAAATGTTAGCAAAATTAGCTAGATTTGACATGTAACGAAACGCTTTCTAAATTATAACACATTTTTTAGGGTAAGAGTAAGGATAATTATTTTTATTCGTAACTCTTCGAATACGAAGGTGACGAAAATCGAATTACACCTTACTTTGTTTATTCTTTATTGATGGTTGGTTAGATTTGTATATTTTTCTGATGAGAACAGGACATAAAAACAATGTGTTTGCCTGTGCTAGAAAATTGGTTCAATTTGAAGTAAAAGGCCAAGGTTTATCTACTCCGATTATAACGAAGCGATGTCTCAAAAACAAAATAAATAACAAAGCAATTTTCTTTTTGTTCCTGTGAACTGAATATCTATACATATAAAATGTTTATTGGCAAATTTATAGTCGTTGGGCATGAAATTAATACGTTAACATCTTCTTCATTTGAAAAGATAATCCCTTACTCAAATACATACGATTATCTACTTATCCCTTCTGGTTCTCCAAATATAGATTTTCAATGTAATACTTTTTTTGGTATAAATTTTGTGCATTTTTAATGAATATTGATAAAAAAATAATTAATTTGCAACAGGAAGAAAGTTTTTGAAACACATTTAATTGATTAATTTATATACTGGGTATCTATCGTAATATTTGGTGAAGGTAGATAACAAAAATGAAACATGATTTAATGAATGTTATCTTAAAACAAAAGAAATTCCTGTTAACTTCTTACTAATAAATAACAAATGGTTATAACCAGGCAGTAAAATATTCGCGAACAATTTGAAAACTGCAAAATTAACTTATTAGCTTTCCTTGAATTAAGTATNATCCTGTCCCTTCTGTAATGAAAGAAGTTGAGTGGAAAGAAATAGGAACATTGAAAATACAAATTCCTGAGTTTGAACAATTACAAAATCAAAGTTATTTGGTTTTAGGAGAGAATAAACTCTTTGCCCCTATGGGCAAAATTCCTACAAAAATTAAACCAAGTGATCAATATGCTGACAATACATTTATAAAACCTCAAATTATAAACAACATACATACTGCAAATATGTCTTTAAAACAAGGAACAGAAAGCAATTCATTTTTCACCCCTTTACAAATTGAAATATTCTCTATTATTAACAATTACCAAGATTTTTATTATCCTAAAAGAAATTTAGAAAACGGTGAAGAAATTAGGTTTGTGTATTGTTTGCATGCTGTAAATCATATTTTGAAAACTAGATCTAAAATACTGCATCACAATGCTAAATTGACACAAAGAGGTGATGTGCCTGAAGAATTTCGTGATCAAGGCTTAGTGAGACCAAAGGTAAGAAGATATATAAATTATTGCTAAATAAAGTTTATTTTATTTGAATGTATTGTAAGAAATATGTTTTAATATTTTTTTATACAAGTTTTTATATAGTAGTATTTCTTATTTGCAGGTGCTTATCTTGGCTCCATTCCGAGATTCAGCCTATAGAATTGTTAATTTTATAATTAATAGCCTTTTCAAAGAAGATAAGGGAAATGTTATTAACAAAATTAGGTTTATTGAGGAATTTACTGGCCATGAACTCACATTACCTAAGAAAAACCCAAAACCAGAAGATTATGAAAAGCTTTTTGTTGGAAATTCAGGGGATGAATTCAAAATTGGCCTTACTATTACCAAGAAGAGTTTAAAGGTAAAATAATTTTGTATTAAAAAGATGTTTATCATCATTTTGTTGATTTATTTTTAACTTTTTTTTGCAGCTTTTTGCTGACTTTTATTCTTCC